AGAATTTGTGACGCAGTAAAATTTATAAAATAATTGCATGGACTAATTTTAACGATTGAATTTCCACTTAATTAATCATTTTATTTTATTTTATTTATTAATTGTGGAAAATTATTTAATTATTTATTCGGAACAATTTTAATTACCGGAATTGATTTATTGAGGAAAACTGCGTCGCATTTAGAAATTTAAGGCCGTGGATAATTTTTTGAGATTACATTTTCACACTGAGGTGAATTATTTATAATCTAATCGTCATTCGTAAAGTACTAGAAATTTATTATTCCACGTGTTATTATCGAGAATTGATTTATTAAATTTCGACGCAAATAAGACTGATACACCCGCAGGAAAAATTGAGGCATGTAATTTTTACGTTTAGTAAAATTATAAATTATTATTTAATCTAATAGCCAATTTCTGCTTGGGGAGTCTTATATTGAAAATGTCCTGTAAAAATTATCAATAATTTATTATCATCATTATTCCGGTAAAATTATTTATAAAACTATTTATTCGTGTGGATTAAATCCGAGAAAAAATTTAGTTAAAAATATAAAAGGATATTATAAGAATTTTTGTTAATGCGCAGAGATAAGCTCGTGTTAAAAATGAAGGGAGAAGAAGCGTCGGTTTAAGCCGGAATTTTTAAGAAGTAAATTTGTTTAATTTATGAGAATAAATTCAGGAGTTTTTATTATTGTAAGCTAATGACTGGTCAATCTTAATGAATATTAACGTTGTAAATTTTCGGAGTTAATTTAGTAAATTCGGAAATAAAAGAGTAAAATGGAGTCAGTGTGTGTGTGTGAGCGGGTAATGTGTGTAAAGACGCGTGGGTTATGTGTGTGGAGATAGTGTGGTGTAGAGGTGTGAGACAGAGATAGCCTTAGTTAGAGCGTGTGTGCCAAGTGGACAACGCGACGTAGTTAGAAGCCGTTGTATAGACGCCAAGTGGGGTACAACGGTGATAAGATTAGAAACTGCAGTATAGACGCTCAAGTGAGGGTACTGCAGGATTAAGTTTAGTTTAGGCAGGTGTGGGAAACCGTTTGTTCCGAAAAAGCCCAATTAGTTGTAATCAGGTTGTGGGAGACCGTCAGTTAGAACATCCCAGCTAGTCATCGCATCATTCGTGGAAAAAAAGGGTCGTTTGTAAATATCGTTATTTCGCAGTAAATTCTCCGCGTCGCTAGATAATAAGCTGTTAGTTTATAAGTGAGCTGTTTTGTCAGCAAAATTGTTAAATTTTATTGTTGAATAAAAACCGGTTATTTGTTAATAAAAATATATTTATTTCAGACCACCTTTCTCTCTCTCTCTCCCTGTAGAATAAGAAGCTCAGCTCTGGCATTCGGTTCCAGGAACCGAGAAAATAATCCTGGTGGCGCCCTATTTAACTTTAAGATCATTTGTTGCTATTTTGTTGTTTATTAAATTTAAATAATAGGGCCAATCGTACGGGAAATAAACCACCCGTTACACATGACAGTCACTTTTGGATTTTGATTTACATCAAATTTTTCAATTTTAGATGAATTACCGTTCATCTAGAAAAAAAAAAATAAAACTTACGTCAAAGTAAATTTAAATATTGCATACTTGGTATGAAAAAAAAAAAAAAATTTATAAAAAAAAATCAATAACTAGCAGTTAAAAAATTCAGAAATTTTAATTTGTAATAATAATTGTAAATTTTACAGAGAATTTTATTTTAATATCTATTATAGAGTACTTTATTTTACAAAAACAAATTTTAAGGTTATCTTAGAAGAAAGAAAGGTTATATCTACAGTATTCAGAAATTTTAATAATAAATAAATAATAACTTACCGTTAATTAAATCAATTTTTTTGTTCGTATTAAAAACTCACTTGATTGTTAATTTTTATATTGAATAAATTTATTATTAACACTCGAAACACCAACAAAATAAATGCCAATGATGACGCTCACGTTGTGAAAACGGTTGCCGCGTAAAGTAAAGAACCGACGCGCTGTTAACACAAAGTTAATGTTTCTACTGATGGAGATTTTGACACAAACTTTGTGTTAAATCCACAGTAACATACAAAATGTGTTAATGAAGAGTGTATCACATATTTTTTATGTTAAAAAATAAGGTGACACAAACTTTGTGTTATTTTAACACACTATAATTTTTAACACAAACCGTTTTCGACACAAATACACAATATTTTTTACTGTGTTTAATATTTTATTGCAAAATACATAAAGTACTTTTTAATTACAAATTATGAAAGTATAAAAAAAATAACAAGTTAATTTTTTAAAAACAAATAATTAATCCCATCCAGATCTCCAGGATGAATTATCAAAATTGAAATCGTTTATTTTATCCATCAATTCTTGAGTTGGAAAATCAGTAATTGTCATATACAAAGATTTAGGCGGTCCGTTGAATATGTCTATCACTAACCAATTAATCGGTAGTAAACACTTAGAATCACGATAGAATCCTCCATCTCTTGCGATTTTACGACGACTATTTATCCCATCATCAAAGGAAATATCATCAATATAACATTCGGAGGATTGGCGGCGCCATGCGACAGAGCTCGAGCAACATCAGGCAATATATATGACCACTTATCATTAAATGAGATCAATCGAATTTTTACCTTTTGACAATGAAGTGCAATGTTAAAAACACATCTAGCTAATGAACTGTGATCACTTGCTAGAAGAATTTTTCCTCAATGCTCGCCAATAGTGTCGTTAGGACCCCAATTCTTGACTAAACGTCTTCCACCCTCAGCAGTATTGATGTAATGATCAATGATATCGCAGTTCCTCTTAGGTTCATCAGATTTCAACTCAAATTTTATTTCCAGGAGCAAAATTACAAACTCCCAAGGATTGTGAGTCAGAAAATGATCAATTGTTTTCAACAAATCCGAAAATGTTACATAGATCTTGTTACCAAACAAGATGATGTTAAATGAATTAGACGTCTGATGAACTTCAACGTGCAAAACACGAATTCCATGTTTCAGTTGTCGGAAAATATCAAAATCTTGCGTTTGTAAACGATCTAGATTAGCAGTGTAAGCTAGTGATTGGTGCGTACCGATGAGCGCAAGATCTTTCAATTTTCTTGAGTGTGGTAGTCTTGACAAGTATTTAATACGCTCCATGTAAGTTTTGTGCTTGCGGTAGTGTGAAGGACATCCTGGAAAACACGTTTCTACAAAGCTATTTGAAACAATTAAAGAAAACACAATTATCCACTGAAGTAACATCTACTTGGTAATTAAATATACAAGAAAAAATTTTAACTGTTTTGACGATTGTTTGATTTCGATATACATTTACAAATTTCTTTCACTAAATTAAATTTCGGTCACTCTGTGCAAACTGTATATCGATAAATACAAGCGAAAGAATTGAAATTATTAAAAAAAATTCGAATTGCATTATTTTTAATTCTTTTCAATCAATATTTTTATACAGGGGCAATACTTCGTTATCGCTATATATATATTTTTAGTGTTTTTTATGACGTCCGGTGATTTGATAAAAATAAAAACAAAAAAAAGGCCATTCGGCAGCCGAAATGGAAGTAGATCTTTCAAATAAAGAAAATTGATTATTAATAAACTAATATAATAACACTAATAATGTATAAATTAATTTATAAATTCAAAACAAAATTCGATAATAAATATACAACTATATAGAAAAAATTTTGGAAAAAAAATTATCTTGTGAAGAAAAAGTTTCTCAAATATTTACCAAAGAATTGCAAAGATTATAAGATTTGAATTATAAACGTCCAAATTTTAAGTAACTGCTTAGGCACAACAGTTTCGAAGTTAATCAGAATTTTGAAACCGGATGAAATTTTAATTGAAGAAAACAATACTTATAACTTATTTGTGACATTTATTGACAACCTACCCGAAAACATTATACGAAAGACTGATCAATATCGTAATTATTGAATTTACATCATGATTAAGCTATGATGCAGACAATAATTCTAAAAAAAATTTTTATTGAAATATATTTTATGTGCCTGAAAAATTATTTGACTTGACATAAGTGTACTCATTTTAACCTATAAGTGCGATGTAAATAACACAAAATCAATTTCAGTTTCGACAAAACTGGTTTTTTCGAAATATCGAGAGTAGAGCACAACCTCAACGCTTCGCTTATAAGGCGTGCAATATTAGGGTGCTTCATTTTTGAGCAACATTTTTTTTCTTCAAATCCCGGTTGAAAATCTTGTAATGTAAACAAAAATTTTGCGCACATTGCGAGCCCTAATTTCGAATTTCAACCCACTGCTAGAGAATTTTGAATTTTATCCATTAAAATAACATTAAAAAATCCTTTTTCAAACGTTTTTCCTTCCGCTCATCCAGTAAAAAATTTTCTTTGGAATTTTGATTCATGGATTATTGTTATAGGTATAATATCCTACAAAAAAGCCCATTATGTCGATACACTCTGTAATAGAGTATACAAATCTTACTCTTTTTGGAACTTAATTAACACTTCAAAGTAAAGTATCTAGAAAAGGAACAATTCTGCGGCCATGCGCCATCTATTGAAGACTTTAAATACCAGTTTCGACAGTGCGGAACAGGTGATGCCTTTGTAACTAACTAATATGTTGTCAGATTTATAAATATTTCATTGATTATTTAAATTTTTTCTAAAATTTTCAAATAATTTTGATAATACATGAATAGATAACTGAAAATTACATTTCATGATGAATATCATGTAACAATATCTATTATCATAAAGTATCGTTTTTATAGTCTGCTTTCTTGGAATTCTTATATTTTACCAGTTTATTATTAAATTATTATGGATATCAATATTACTTTAATTAAGTTAATATTATTTTATTTAATCAATTTGAATCATAATGCATGTGTACCGTTCGTTACACAATATTAATGAATAAAAATTTTTCATTAATGACACAAAGTTACATAAAAGTTGAACAGCCGTTGTGAAGAAAAATTTCAATAGAATCAATTGATCGAGTACTCATAAATTTTAAAAATAAACCAAAGAAATTTAAACAAATAAACTGTACTCTTGTGAAAAATGTTAATACATTTGAATAGCGGTTTATTAAATATTTAAAATCTTTATTTTTTTACAATGAAATCTACAAAAATAATATTTTATATTTTATAAGTATAATAAATCTGATAATTGAAACAATTATCCCCACAATATTTTGGAGATCTGGTTCGCCAATACTTTCTATGCATAAAATTAACTACTATCTATTTATTGGCACAAATTTGACATAAACAGGATGAGCCGGTCTTATTACAAGTTCAGGAATCAAGCGTAGATTGGCGGTACATTCTTGAGGTTCCAAATAAAAGTTGTAAAGTAGACCAGCCATGAATGTCTTCAATTCAAGCATTGCAAATTTTTGGCCTGAAATAAAGAAGCTCGTTCATTAATTATGCATTCAATATCTTTTCCAGAAAATTGGATAAATAAGATCTACCAATGCAATTGCGTGAACCAGCACTGAATGGAATATATGAAAAAGGGTGTCTGTCTACTGAGTTTTCTGGCAAAAATCTATCTGGGTCAAAAACATTCGGACGTGGCCAGAAATTAGCATTACGATGAGTGTCAAATATTCGATGAATTAATATCGTTCCTCTTGGCACATAACAGTGCTCTGAAATAATTAATAAATTCAATAATTAATCTAAATTCGACTTTAATAATTTGTTATCTGATTGAGAAGAAATGAATATTATTTTTTTATTAAAAAAATATCCATACTTAACGTTAAATCTTTTCGAATTTTCCTCGATATAATTGCGACTGAGGGATAAAGTCTTAATCCTTCTTTAATACAACATTCCAAGTATGTTAAGTGTTTGATGTTATCAAAATTTACTTCTCCATTATTATCCGCTAATACTTCCTCGATTTCTGCTCTTACCCGATTCTATAAAATATTAATGCAATTGTTATTGCAATGTGTACATTATAAACAAAGCTCTTTGATATTTTCAGAAATTGCAAGAATATTTATTTTTATTCAATTGATAATTTTAAAATTTAAATTGTGTAAATCAATTGTAGAATGAATAATTATTTACTTGTATGTCTCGATGTTCAGCCAGTAATAAGATAATAAATAGTAATGCCATTCCAGTAGTATCATGACCCTAAAGATTTATCAACGCCCGGGAAAAACGGATTAGATCTGGCCATATATAAACAGATCTGGCCAGATCTGCTAAGGCAGATCTGGTCAAATTTTAAAATTGCCCAGGTAAAAATGATTATATATAATTATATATACTCATACATAATTATATACGAAAAATGGCCATATATAATTATATAAAATTATATAGAATTATTTTCATAAAAAAAAAAAAAAAAAAAAATCTGATTATGTCTGATGTATTTTTCCACTCAGATATAGTTATATCTGTTTAGATTTGATCAGATATGATTATATCTGATTATGTCTGATGTATTTTTCCACTCAGATATAGTTATATCTGTTTAGATTTGATCAGATATGATTATATCTGATTATGTCTGATGTATTTTTCCACTCAGATATAGTTATATCTGTTTAGATTTGATCAGATATGATTATATCTGATTATGTCTGATGTATTTTTCCACTCGGATATAGTTATATCTGTTTAGATCTGATCAGATATGACTATATCTGATTATGTCTGATGTATTTTTCCACTCAGATATAGTTATATCTGTTTAGATTTGATCAGATATGATTATATCTGATTATGTCTGATGTATTTTTCCACTCAGATATAGTTATATCTGTTTAGATTTGATCAGATATGATTATATCTGATTATGTCTGATGTATTTTTCCACTCAGATATAGTTATATCTGTTTAGATTTGATCAGATATGATTATATCTGATTATGTCTGATGTATTTTTCCACTCAGATATAGTTATATCTGTTTAGATTTGATCAGATATGATTATATCTGATTATGTCTGATGTATTTTTCCACTCAGATATAGTTATATCTGTTTAGATTTGATCAGATATGATTATATCTGATTATGTCTGATGTATTTTTCCACTCAGATATAGTTATATCTGTTTAGATTTGATCAGATATGATTATATCTGATTATGTCTGATGTATTTTTCCACTCAGATATAGTTATATCTGTTTAGATTTGATCAGATATGATTATATCTGATTATGTCTGATGTATTTTTCCACTCAGATATAGTTATATCTGTTTAGATTTGATCAGATATGATTATATCTGATTATGTCTGATGTATTTTTCCACTCAGATATAGTTATATCTGTTTAGATTTGATCAGATATGATTATATCTGATTATGTCTGATGTATTTTTCCACTCGGATATAGTTATATCTGTTTAGATCTGATCAGATATGACTATATCTGATTATGTCTGATGTATTTTTCCACTCGGATATAGTTATATCTGTTTAGATCTGATCAGATATAACTAGATCTGATCATGTCTCCAATCCCATGTCTGATCAGATATAAATAGATCTGACCAGATATAATTAGATCTGATCAGATATAATTATATCTGGTCAGATCTAAACCGTTTTCCCCGGGCGATTAGAGTATTATCATTTAAAAAATGGAATTGTTGATAATCACCTCAAAAATGAAAGTATCAACTTCTTCTTGGATTCCTCGATCATCAACACCTTCATTCCGTTTAGCAGCTGAGAGTAAAATATTCAGAAAAGAAAGTCTTTTCTGATTGGCTATATAACATATTTTATGATTAATCATTTTTATCTTTCCGCACATTTATGTATGTTGTGTGAACCTCTTATAATTTTGAACAGTCGGACCAATCTCATTAAATTGTTTAATTCATTCAATAACTTTGATTGATAATATTGATATTGAAGAGAATTAAAAATGATGAAATTTGAATTCATTTCAATAATTTTAAATCGTTCGTTTGTATACATGCGACATTTCATCCCAAATCGTAGTTCAAAAAAATTTTTTGATATTTTTTATCCTTCAAAAAACTCCTTCAGATAAATTTTGAGATTTTGTTGATTACTGATAAGTAGAATGTTTTTTTTTTTTCCAAAAATTAAAAAAAATTAGTTGCCATGAAGATCCCGCTATTGGAACGGGCTTAAAAGATGGAGAAAATATAGTAGTTTCTAATAAAAAAATTTAAGGAAGATCAAAATATGCATGATTTTTGAAAACGACTTTAAAATTTTGAAACTAAGCAAAAACAAAGAAAATTATTTTTTTATTCTTTGAAAAAAATATGAAAAGACAAAAGATTTTTGAGCTTAAAAATTTATACTAGTTGTATTTGTGAGATTTAAGAGCTCAAAATTTCAAAATAAAACAATTTTTCGAGCTTGAACTTGACATTAGTGCAAAGTTATAGCGATAGTCTGCAGGGTCAACCATTTTTCAGATTTTTTAAATCCAATTTGAGTACCCATATTCACACATTGATAACAGTTTTTTGAATACCTCGGATAGATTGAAGATCCTTTTTATTTGGTGACATAGAGCTATCTGAATATTTTCCTCTAGTTTCTTCGTAATATAGCTTACGTTCTTCGATTATCTAATTAAAAAAGAAAAACAAATTATTGATTTGAAAAGATTATATTTTAAAAATTAAATACTTTTTTAGTAAAACTATGAAGATCTTTCAAATTTCTTTGATATTGTTGACCTTTAGATGTTAACTTAAAAAGGAACTCCGACCTCAACCATGGTCTGCAAGTTCTATAAATCAATGGAATAAGTATCACAATTAATTGAATAATCATTAAGTTTTTCTAATACGATAAAATCTTTACCTATAAACAAATGTTTCTCCAAATTCGTAAACTGATTGCTTGTAATGTTCCATATCTTTTTCTCCAATTACAACGCCCGTGGTTGATTCTACTTGCAGTAAAAAAACATTATTTTGAATTTTATTAAAATCATCTGATAAATATATGCATACTAACGTACCGACTATTGTATTAAGAGTAAATTTTGTAACTAACGGCAATAGTTCTTTAATAACTCCATTTGAACCCGATTCTGATTTGAGATTCTTAATCAAATGATTTGTATGATAAACAAAACAATCCATATACTCTCTAAGATTATGCAGGTGAAATGCAGGAGTCAATATTTTTCTTCGGCTTTTCCATTTTTTTCCTCAATACCCAAAACATATACAAAATAGATACATACTTATTATTAATTAAACTTGTAATTTTTACTGTGCACTTAGAACCTCGATAAGTTAAAATTCAAGAGAAATGTTAAAAAATTTGAGTCATCGAGTTTTTTACTTATTAAAAGTTTAAGTTAGAGAGACTATTGAAATAAAATTTTCAACTTAACGAGGTTTATCGATTTTGGAAATTTGAGTGAAAACGTCATAAGCGCAATTTTAAGCGCTTAGATATGGAATTAGCGGGACGTTGCATGGATGGCCTTTTAGGGTCAACTCTTTTCCTAATTTTTTTCTTAACAACTCTCTTTTTTAACTTCCCGCTAAGAAAATTGAAAATTTTCAAAAATCGGGAAGTTATTGGTTTTACCTCGTTTTTCGGAAATCGAGTTTTCAACGGATATTGACGTTTTAAGGTCCTAGGAAGTCTCCCCGAATGTGTGTGTGTGTGTGGCCGTATGTAAACCTCTCATAACTTTTGAACGACTCGACCGACTTCATCGCGGTTGGTGCCATTCGAAAGGGCTTGACCAAACTTAGATTTTGAATACCTTTAGTATTCCTAATTTTTTTTTATTTTTTTTTTTTGTGATAAGTGACAACGTACTCTTATGGATTCCAAATTGAGCAGCAATATTTCTCCTTTTTGAACCACTTTTCACAGCTTCAATCGCTCTCAACTTATCAGAATATGTTAAAGTGTTTAATTTCCGTTTCATTTTATTTTCTTTGGACTCGTTGCTTAATTTTTCTTGCGTAACAACTATACGTTAAGCGATTTAGTGAAAGACTAAAGTGAAAATAAACTAAGCTTTTGGCAAAACCTTTAATTTGTATACATACTCAGTACGATGACTCACTGATAATATTTCAAGTTATGGAGGTCACTAAAATATTATTTTAAGTTATCGAGGGCAATACTCAAAATATTTGCTTAAGTTACTGAGATTTTCTACTTTAAGTAATAGAGGTTTTATTTAAGCTGTAAAGGGAAGGGAATCAAAAAAATTTTTAAGTTACAAAGATTTTGAACTTATCGAGGTTTAAGTTATCAAGGTTCTACTGTATTTACCTGTACTAGTGAGCAATCCATCTTGCAACCAAGGATGAAGTAGATCATAAACTATACTTTTATCCAGATGTTTTATGCTATTTAACAGTATCTTCAATAATTTTAAATTAAAATAAATGTATCAATTTATTAAATTAGTTTAAAAAGCATATAAAAAAAAATTTACCTGAGCATCATCCGGGTGATGAATTGTGACAACTGGCCATATTCCGGCCCAAATTTTCCAAACAGGGTAATACTTAATCGATGTGCGGTGTAAAAAATTCCAAATGTCTTCTAAGAATTTCATTAATATACTGTGAAATAAGTATTTAAAAATTAAAAAATATTTTTATCTCACCCGGATGTCCTGCTAAATCCAATAAATTGCCGATGATTGGATACGATTTAGGTCCAGGGATCAAATTACAAAGACGTCCCTGAATTCTTAGATGGACGTAAAAGTGTACGATTGTCAACAAAAATACAACCGAAAATAAAACTGATGTAATAATATACGATAATGTGAGAATCATTTTTTTTATAGTTTAATTTAGATGAATCTTAAATATTTTATTTTAAAAATTCGATTCGGTCTTATCAATCATTTAGGCAACTTGACTTTAAATGCACTGGCGGATAATTTTTTTATGCATATGAAAATAATTAAAATTTTAAATTTATTCAAGTGCGAGACTCCACACATTTTAAATGATGAAATGTTCAAGATCAATAATGATTTTGTGGTCAAAACCAGGTTCTTTTTTTGTGCGTTGAGTCAAATTATTTTTCTATTTATTAATTTTGCATAATATTATTAATAATATTATTCATTGTTTAGATATAAAATATATTACTTGCCAAGAATTATAATTTTGAAAAATTCTATAAGTATAATTTTATAAAATTAATTTTTTATACTCTCAGGCTGACTCGAGAAACTTATCTGCAAAAATTATTGAAATTTTTTATCAAATAATACAAATAATAATTGAATAAATAAGTCATAATTTAAGTATTATAGTCAATACAATATAAGTATTTTTTATTTAGTATTTATTAGTAATATATGCCAAGGCACAGCTCAAATGGCAAGATGTTTTAATTACAATGTAATTTAAAAATAATATAAAAATACAATATAAATTTTTTATATTTATAACATCAAGAATAAGTATAAATTTGAGATTTAAATTATTTTAAGATTTAAGTAGTACAGGTTTATACATAATTATTAATTTTTACTTTTCTTCAAACTTCCCGCTAAGAAAAATTGAAGAAAAATTTTTTTTTTAATTCAGTTGAAAGTAAACAATCATACATTTTCTTTTTTAATATTTCTAAATAATAAGATAATTCCTGAAATTGAGTGATCGTACGATTTACAATCTAGATAGTTAAATTTACCATCAACAGTAGTAAAAATTACCAATTTTATTATAAAAACTATTCAGTTAGAACAAACACCGAACTATTTAATGTTATTTTTTTCTCCATGATAAAAACAATTTCTTTTTAGATTGTGAAGAAAATTCCTTCTTTAACATTTTAATTTTTTTCAATATTGATGAATAAAACATTTTTCATTAATGACACAAAGTTATATAATAGTTAAACAGCCGTTTTAAAGATAAAGTTCAAAAGAAATCAATTGATCGAATATTGATAAATTTTAAAAATTCACCAAAGAAATTTAAACAAATAAACTGTATTCTTGTAAAAAATGTTAATACATTTGAATTGGGACCCGTGGGAGAGGCGTGGCTTAATTTTTTGCCGTCTGGTGGTTAAAAAAAATAAACTAGCGATTGTAGGATTCTTGATACAGCTGATGCTTGTAAATAAACGTGTAGATAAGATATAAAATTAAATTAAAAATTGCGTGTGACCAAAATTTAATTAAAAATGCGTGTAAACTTACAAGAAATTTGTAAATTTACTTCAGCTCCAGCTGCTAGTAAGAATTTTATTGATGGAGAAAATATTATTGATTGTGGTCATTTATTGAATTGTGGGAAAGTGAATCATAGTGATGACAGTGATGTTTATCATATCCTTGCTTTTTGCTTATAAACAGCTGGTTTAAGAAATTAACCTCATGAAATAAATGCTCAATTCTCAAAGAACGGAAAAATAATTGGTATGGAATGCTCTTGCAAGGCTGGATTGGGAGGTAGTACTTTTATTTTGTAACCGGTAATTATGACTTTATCTTTTTTTCTTGTTAATCAATAAACTCTAAAATTATTAAATTATTGATTCTATTATTCTGTACTTACAGAAATAACTTTGAAGATTTCAAAGATATTACGTGTACAGATAAGAAATGTGCCTGGAATGCACTTTATAAATCAGCTCTTGAAAAATATGAGGCGAAGCTTTTATTTGAACACAAATGTGTTGAAGAAAAACAAAAAAAAAGATGAAGATAAAGTTAAAATGAAGAAATCTATCAGATCACTCTAAGGCAAATACGTCACTCCAAAAGAAGCTGCTACTGATCCTCCAGTATGTTTAAGCATGGGTTTAACTGAATTAGATGAAGCAGAATATGAAGAATTTCTTAAAATAATGGTGGAAGAAAATTCTTCATCAGCTTTAGCAAAACATTTTTAAATCATTTTTATTTTAATTAATTTTTTTATTGATGTTTTTTTTTTTGTAAATAGTTTACATCATCAATTTTGTATTTGACTCCGAAATGATTTTTTTTTTTGTAAATAATTTACACCATCAATTCTTTATTTTTATGTGGAGAAAATTCCATTTTTATAATTATATTGATGTACGTATATTAATTTTTTATAAATGTATGATTACGAAATTCACTTTTTGTATTGCTTATTTTTTTTTTTTAATAAAAATTACACTGTATTTTACTATTTTTTAAACATGATTCTATCCTACAATCGCTAGTTTGAATTTAAACCACCAGGCGGCGTATTTAAATCCTCAGTTTCCCAATAGCGGTTTATTAAATATTTAAAATCTTTATTTTTTTACAATGAAATCTACAAAAATAATATTTTATAAGTATAATAAATCTAATCATTGAAACAATTATTCCAACAATATTTTGGAGATCTGGTTCGCCAATATTTTCTATGTATAAAATTAACAATTATCTCTATTTATTGGCACAAATTTGACATAAACTGGATGAGCCGGTCTTATTACAAGTTCAGGAATCAAGCGTAGATTGGCGGTACATTCTTGAGGTTCCAAATAAAAGTTGTAAAGTAGACCAGCCATGAATGTCTTCAATTCAAGCATTGCAAATTTTTGGCCTGAAATAAAGAAGCTCGTTCATTAATTATGCATTCAATATCTTTTCCAGAAAATTGGATAAATAAGATCTACCAATGCAATTGCGTGAACCAGCACTGAATGGAATATATGAAAAAGGGTGTCTGTCTACTGAGTTTTCTGGCAAAAATCTATCTGGATCAAAAACATTCGGACGTGGCCAGAAATTAGGATCACGGTGAGTATCAAACATTCGAAGATTTAAAATCGTTCCTTTTGGCACGCAACAGTGCTCTGAAATAATTAATAAATTCAATAATTAATCAAAATTCGACTTTAATAACCTGTTATTGCATTAAGAAGAAATAAATATTCTTTTTTTAATAACAACTATTCATACTTAACACTAAATCTTCTTGAATTTTCCTCGATATAATGACGACTGAGGGATAAAGTCTTAATGATTCTTTAATACAACATTCCAAGTATTTTAAGTGTTTGATATTATTTAAATTGACTTCTCCATTATCATCCGCTAATACTTCCTCAATTTCTGCTCTTACCCGATTCTATAAAATATTAATGCAATTGTTATTGCAATGTGTACATTATAAACAAAGCTCTTTGATATTTTCAGAAATTGCAAGAATATTTATTTTTATTCAATTGATAATTTTAAAATTTAAATTGTGTAAATCAATTGTAGAATGAATAATTATTTACTTGTATGTCTCGATGTTCAGCCAGTAATAAGATAATATATAGTAATGCTATTCCAGTAGTATCATGACCCTAAAGATTTATCAACGATTAGAGTATTATCATTTAAAACATGGAATTATTGATAATCACCTCAAAAATGAAAGTATCAACTTCTTCTTGGATTCCTCGATCATCAACACCTTCATTCCGTTCAGCAGCTGAGAGCAAAATATTCAGAAAAGAAAGTCTTTTCTGATTGGCTATATAACATATTTTATGATTAATCATTTTTATCTTGTCGGACCGATCGCATAAAATTGTTTAATTCACTCCTAGAATATCGAAATTCTAAATTTTTAAAAGAGGGTTTTATCAAAACTCCTGCAACTTTGTTTGATAATATTGATTGAAAAGAATAAAAGATGATGAAATTTGAATTCTTTTAAATAATTCGAATTCTTTTGTTTGCATATATTTGACATTCCACCCCAAATCGCAGTTTAAAAATTTTTTTTTTGATTTTTGAAATTTTTGGATATTTTTTGGCATCCTTAAAAAAAATTCTACAGATATATTTTGAAATTGTGTTCATCACTGATGATAAATACAAAAAATGTTTTTTTTCGAAAATTGAAAAACATTAGTTGCCATAAAGATACAATCAAATTTTTTATCCAAGAATAATTCTCGAAAACTAACTATAATTTCGTTTTCTTCCCAGAACTATATATTTTTGGTTCAAGAGTAAGTTTCTTTATTAAAAATAGCAAAAAAATCTTTTTTAAAAGCGAAATTTTTACTTCAACATATTCTGAAACTTATTTGGGACTTTTTTGACATAGAAAGTAGCAGAAATCCAAAAATTTTTAGTTTAGACGGCGTTTTTGAAACAAGTCTTAATCCAAGAAGAAATTCTTGAAGGAAGTATATGTGTATCTTGTTTTAAAATAGTAAAAGTACTTTGTTAGAGTAAAATTCTTCTGAAGAACTTTCTGCTCATTTAATTTTAATTTCTTAAATTAGAGTTAAAAATCTTGAAAAGTGAAATTTTGAATGCATTTTTTTTAGTTTGAACAATTGCTTCATTTAAGAATAAAATTTTTCATTCAATAGTTAATTTCTTCACTAAAATAATTAATTTTTCAGTGTAAATTTTTAAATTATTTTTTTGGATATCCAAAGTCATTAGTCTTTTATGTAAATATCAACTAATTATTTTAATAAAAATAACATCAGTAATCAAAGTAGCAGAAATCCAAAAATTTTTAGTTTAGACGGCGTTATTGAAACAAGTCTTAATCCAGGAAGAAATTCTTGAAGGAAGTATATGTGTATCTTGTTTTAAAATAGTAAAAGTACTTTGTTAGGGTAAAATTCTTCTGAAAAACTTTCTACTCATTTAATTTTAATTTTTTGAATTAGAGTTAAAAATCTTGAAAAGTGAAATTTAAAATAAAACATTATTTCTTTTTCCACGCATAAATTCGATGGCAAAATAAAAAGCTGAGAGAGAACTTAATAAATATGACTTGAACTTGATATACAGACATATTTCAATAGATACAAATATAATAAATGATCAGGCCACACATGTGGTTCCGTAAGAGAATAACTAATAAAAAAGGTCTTACTCGTGACCCCGTATGATTGTACATATCGAGTGAAAATTGGGCGACTCTTGTTTCGAAGAGGGTTGTGTATCATCACCCCGATAGTATTCGAGCTAATATAAACATTATAACCAACGGGGGTAGTTTTATTATTTTTTATCCCATTGCTACACAAGGGTCGTGGTACTGCGGTAGGGTAATGACCTATGTGTGGTTAAAAAATAATTCAAGTGATCCACCGCTTTACCCATAAGGCCTCCCATATGTGACCTACCATTTATATCTTTATACTTATCTCATAAATTTATCTTTTGTTTTTGCAGCATAAATATAAGCCAATCAATGCCAACCAGCGGACGGCCAAGTTTAGCTTACGAGAAATTACTATTGGAGATGACACTTTCATGGTTTATCGTCGCGGCACATTTAAAAGCTGACAAGGATAAAAATTATTCTGCGTTTCTTGCCAAACCTGCTGGAGTTCTTGCTGCTGCTTATACAGCTTCAACATTAGTAGCGGTAATTTTTGTTATTTTAATTATTAATTTAACCATTTTCAATTTATTCTAAATTATTCACTCATTAAAATATTTTTAAATTCAATTTTTTTTTATTTCAAGTTATTTTATAAAATTAAGACACTTTTGTCTTAATATTATAAATAATGTGGTTACTTTAAGCAGCTTTTTTGTAAAAGATAAAAAAGGGTTATTATAAATAGATCTGGAAAATATTTTTAAAATTCTTAAAAAAGACACTCTGAGAAACTAGTAATTTATTATTAAAAGATTTTTTTTTGTTTTTTAATCATGTATTGTCATAATTTAAAGCCAAGACTTTTTAACAGTAGGGATAGTTTTTTTTCTTTTTAAATTTCAACTATTAAAAAAAATTTTGTCCTGTTTTTTATTTTAAACATGGGTCATTCCATGTCAAATCGACTAATAGTTGGAATACGTTAAGCCTGGCTTTAAGATTACATCCAAAAAATAAAAAAAAGTTGAAATTAATTTATTTAATTTTTTAATGCTCAAAATTACAATACCATGTATCTGCATAATTTTGCCTTATTTAGATGTTGCAAAAAACAAAAAAAAATTTATTTTGAAATTAAAAAATTCATATTTAAAAAAAAAACTTCTAAAAATTTCAGGATTTTTTAAGATCAGTACAAGGTATCATACAAAATAAATTGAGCCAAAATTTTAATGTCGATCGTCATTTTTGACGATTTTCAAAAATTCAAAATTTGGCATTTTTTTTAAATTTTTTTCTAATAGCTTCAAGTGTCCCCTTTCAAACAAACGAAAGGCCATTCCTGTATCTATAATAACGTTCGAGATATTAAAAAAACAAAATTGAAAAACTGGAAAAATCGCGAAATTTTAAATTTGCATATCTTTCGAAAACAATTTTTTAATTTTTTTTTTCCTTTAGCAAAACTTCATTATATGATAAAAGAAAACTTCTGTTATATATATAATTTTAATCATTTTCTTTAAATATGTTAATATTTGTTTCATTTTTTATTCTTCATCTTCAATTTTTAATCCTTGTATTAAATTTGCTTATTTTTTTTATAAATTTTGTCTTATAACATAGTTTCCATAATTACTTTCAATTTTTTATTTTAATTTTGTTTAATTTGTAGTTTTAATATTTGTCTTGTTTTTCATCTTTACAAATAAATAAGTTGAAAAATTAACTAAGAATAATAACTAATTTTTATTTAACGCAAAATTAGATTTTATTCAATATATAATTTTGAAAATTAATGCATTATACCAATATTTTTAATAAGTTATTATCAATTTCAAATTTATATCACTAATTCTTTTTTCTTCATAATCATCTTTAAAAATTTTATCTCAACTATAGTTTTGTTCGTCTTAAATTTCATCTTAAAGTCAGTCAATTTTTTTCTTAAATTTAAAAAAAAATTTTATTTCCTTCTTCGTTTTTGGTCTAAAATTTTATTTCAAACCGGATTCCATAATTAAATTAATCATAAAAAAATAATTGTGTTAGTTAATACAATTATTTTTTTTATAATTTAAGAGTGATAATCCATCAAGTAACTCAAATAAATAATGAAATCTAATTTTTCCAAATAATTAATAAAAAACATTTAATTCCAGAGTCCGTTTTTAAATCCAGCACGAGCATTGGGTTTGGCCTTCGTAACAAACAAATGGGAGTTCCACTGGGTCTACTGGGTAGGTCCAATAATCGGATCAGTGATAGCTTCAATGGTCCATAGATTTGTGTCATGTTGGAAGAACGAACGCTCCCGAGAATCGCGTAACATGGACGACGGCGACTCATCATTACCATCCGACGGAGATACCTATGATGATTTCGACAAGCCATCTGGTCCTAAGTACACCAGTGGGTATGCAGCAACATACCGTCCAGTAGCTGGAGCATCTTCAATCTACTCAGGACCAACAGCAACTGCATTGGAGCGCGTCGAATCTATTTACGGTGGTACCAAATCACTTTACTGCAAATCTCCACCATTAACACGAGCGAATCTCAACAGATCGCAAAGTGTTTACGCGAAATCAACATCATCCCCACGAGACGGGTTCATCATACCCAAACCAGGACCATTGGTACCAGCACAAAGTCTGTATCAGATGAGACTAGGCCAGGCTTCTTTGCCGTTACCATCAAGAGAGCCTCTATCCAACCCAATTGGTCCCCAGCCGTCTTCTTCCCACAACCCGACTCAAAATCACAATAGTACTAACCAAAATATGCAGAATCAACTGCAACAATGCACACAGAGTATTTATGGAATTCGTGGAATTTCTACTAGCTTAAGCACCAGGGAAAATGGAATTTACGGTGTCACTACTGCTTCTAGTATTTATGGACGTGCTCCAGCACCTCCACCAGAATCTCAACAACAACAACAGCAACAACAGTCACCCTCTATTTCTTCATCACAAGTTTCAGCAAGTCAATCAAATTCCAGTCAGCTACAGAATCAACACCCACAAAATCAAAATCAAAATCAAAATCAAACTCAGAATCAAATGCAACAAGAAGGAATGATCTCTCGTCGACCTGAGAGTATGTACGGACACATATCTCGCAGAAGTGACGACTCAGCCTATGGAAGCTATCAAGGCTCTAATAGGGGCAATTATGCTAAAACAACTGGTCCACCACCACCACCACCTCCTGGATTCATGGGATCCGTTAGTTTTCGTGATAACAGACCAAGTCCTGGTCCAATACAACAGAATCAAGTTCAGCAACAAAATTACCAACGAAATTCACCCAATCCACAGTATTAATCGTTGATTTGTATTTTATGATTTACGATACTTATTATTACAATCTTGGATATTAATTTAAGTATGTTTATTGGAAAATAGCCATTTGTAAACTCTAACGTTTATAAACTACTAGAAATTTGAATAGCGCGCCTTAATTTTAACCAATAAGGAATCAGGTCCCATTTTTTGCGAGTTTCGACTATTGACTAACTTCACACTCTCATGGATTTTTATTCTAGGGATAAAATTGAAAATTAGTTGATGTCATTTGTAAAAATACCCTTATAGCCATTTCATACTATAATTTTCAGATAATCTACACGGAAAAAAGAAAACTGGAAAAATTACAGTTTCAGATTGTAATTATTAGAGATTTTGTAAGAATTACATTGTAGAATGTAATATTTACATTGAAAGCTCTGAATATCAAATTAAAAAATTGAATTTAGAAAACTGTTATTTCAAACTGTAATTTTTCTAGTTTTGATTACAACAAGACCGATTTTACATTTTATACTGTAATTTTTTGAGTTTTCTTTTTTCCGTGTAGTGCTGCGAATTATAGATAGCTTGACGAAAAGTAGGTTGGCAGTAAATTTTAATCTACAAGTTATGGTCAAACTTTATTTCAAAGAATTGTATTGAAACAATTGCCGTTAAGTTCCCGAAATTTTCTATTCAAGTTTACTATAAGCTTATAGATAACTTTTTTTTTTTAAATATCGGCACTATCTTATTGTCATCTTGCATACAAGGATAGACATTTTTAGACTTGACGTTAACTTAACGATAACTTGTCGTTAAATTTAACGACAAGAACTTATAGTATGAGGTGGCTATCAGGGTAGTCGTAAATAAAAAATGATATTAATGAAATTAGCGAAATGGAAATTTCACCAAACATAAATTGTCATTTATAAATAAGCGAAAAACAAAAATCTGTGGTTAAGTGAATTTAGCCAATTGTTACTGCAGAAACTTATAAAATTAGCCGATTTTAAACTTTACGAATTGTAAAATTAGTCGTTTTTAAACTTCTTACAACTTTTGAATGGATAGGTCGAATCTGATCTATTTTTCAGAAAAACTAAATTTATGGAAGTCCTTTTAGATTCTTCAAATCATTTTTTGATCAGTCGACCCGTTTAAGAATTACGAGAAATTTAGAAACGGCTAATTTTACAATTCAAAAAGTATACAATCTAATTTTATAAGTTTTTGCAGTAAAAATTGGCTAAATTAACATAGCCACAAATTTTTGTTTTTCGCTATTTTATAAATGACTGAATTTATATTTGGTGAAATTTCCATTTCGCTAATTTCATTAATATCATTTTTTATTTGCGACTAATTTTACAAATGACATTATCAAGTTAGAGTTATTAAAAACATACTTAAATTAATGACCACGATTGTACATTTATTATGTATTTATAAATATTTAATAAGGACAGCTATTGCTCATATATTATTTTATAATTAAATATCACGTTTAAAGTGATTAATTATTAAGTTTTAGGACAATATTTTTAAAAGACTGTAAATAAATTTTTTTTATTTTTTATTTATTATACATTTACTTACTAAATAATTTAGTTATTATTGTTGCATGTATGTGAGAATAGTTTAAATCAAGTCATCAATAAATAATCACAAAGAATATTATTAGAATTATTATTTTCATAAATCATTCACTCTTGCATTATATATGACTGCCATTTCATCGTTACAATTATTATTCTCATTTCTCATTAATATTAATAATGTTATTATTATTATTATTGTAATTAATTATCATGTATTTTAAGTAAAAAAAGAATGATGTAAAAGTTTTTTGATCATAAAAAATTGTATCTTGTTATTTTTCAACCTCACTGATCTTCGGATCGTCCAAATTTGTATGTCAGTGATCCAAAAAATATGAATAAATTTTGTAATAGTAAGCCAACACCTGGCCAACTGTGTTTAACGTCTGTTACAAATTATAATTATTTGTATTATTTATTTTTTTAAATCAGTTTTAATACAGTGAAACCTAGATCTGTAATATCATCTGTAAAGATAGCATTGACCGATATTATCTATATAATTAAAAGAAAATTTATATATGATAAAATAAGTTTTTCAAATTAAATTTAATATCATTGAAAAAGTTGAGACTTGTGCTTTTTTAATGTTTCATATGGTTTTCAGTAATTGCTATTTATTATGAAAAAAAAGTAGCCGATAATTTATATTTTTATAAAAATAAATTCTTGTTTTTTTTACTTAAAAAAAATATTTTTAAAAATTCAATTATAATTTTTAACAAGTAAATTATGGCAAGAAAAATTTATTTAAAAAATTCCATATTTAGAAGTTTATTAAAAAAATTATAAAAACAATTTTTTTAATCAATTTTCTAGACCTTGTTTATTTTTCGAGAAAAATAAATAAATTTTCAAGTGTGCTAATTTCAGTGTCATTATGAAATTTTTTTATTTAATTTTTTCATAATCTATATAATTAAAAGAATAAAGAAAATTTTGTCTCCGGGGTATTTATATGATAAAATGAGTTTTTAAAATTAAATTAAGTGTCATTAAAAATATCGGGACCTGAATTTGTATCTTTTCAATTTTTTATATGCTTTTCTAAAATAGTTCATTTACTATGATAAGTTTTTGAAGTAGTTAGAAATAGATTCGAATTTCGTGATAAACAAAATTTGTTTATTTATTTTGTCTTGTACATGTCAATGTGATTATAAGTCAAAAATTAATTTATATAATTAAGAGACTAAGAAAAATTTTTTAACGGGTATATCTTTATCGTAATTAGTTTGGATATTTTTTTAGCGATAGTCATTTATGATTTAAATACAGTAGAACCTCGATAAGTTAAAATTCAAGGGAAACGTAAAAAAATTTGAGTTATCGAGTTTTTTACTTATCGAGAGTTTAAGTTAGAGAGGTTATTAAAGTAAAATTTTTAACTTAACGAGGTTTATTGATTGGAAACTTGAGTGTGAAAAAGATACATATAATTCAATAGAAATGATAGATTTTTATTTATTTATATATTCCTTTCTTTACTGTGCTTACCGCCATAATATTTTTCATTTTTAAATGTTTATGTCTTATCAGGGAGACATTTGTAAAAAAGCGCAAGTTCATTAAAAATATCATCAGGGTTGTATTCCTCAACTAAACATTCCAGTTTGCTCTTCCATTCTCTACAAACCTCGCCACTCACACTAGCACTTTTACCACAGACTTTTTTGAATGTCAATTCATGACGTTTCTTGAAATTTTCTAACCAACCGTTGCTAGCTTTGAATTGGTTAATATTTAACGATTTCGCGAACTCTTCAGCTTTTTCTTTCAGTATTGGCCCACTTATACTGATATTTTTATCGCGACATTGCTTAAACCAAGTGAACAAACATTGTTCTAAGTCAAGAAATTCAGCTATTCTACGTCTCTTACACTGAAGTCCAACACCTAACTCTTGTTTTTTCAACAACTCTCCTTCCTTTTTTATAATAAGTGACAACGTACTCTCGTGGATTCCAAATTGAGCAGCAACATCTTTCCTTTTTGAACCACTTTTCACAACTTCAATCGCTCTCAACTTATCAGCATATGTTAAAGTATTCAATTTACGTTTCATTTTCGAACTCGTTTATTAATATTTCTTGTTTACAACTATACGTTAAGCGATTAAGTGAAAGACTAAAGTGAAAATCAATTAAGCTTTTGGCGAAACCTTTTGTTTGCATACATACTTAATACGATGACTTAATGATATTACTTTAAGTTATGGAGGTCACCAAAATATTATTTTAAGTTATTGAGGGCAATGCTCAAAATAATTGTTTGAGTTATCGAGGTTTTGTACTTTAAGTAATAGAGGTTTTAAGCTGTGAAGGGAAGGGAATCAAACAAATTTTTAAGTTACAGAGGTTTTGAACTTATCGAGGTTTGAGTTATCGAGGTTCTACTGTAATTGAGAGAGTAAGGAAAATTTTGTGACGAGCATATTATTATTTTCAAAGGAATTTTTATGGTTTAATTTGGTATTATCAGAAAGGTCTTGATAAGAATTAGTGTCTTTTGGTTTTATATATTTTTTAGTAGTCAATTTTTTGGAGGAGTTTTCAATAGTTTGTTGGTTCTATAAATTTGTTCCGTCACATTTGTCCATTAAATTATTTGTAATTGATCCTGTGATAGCACTATTATTTTTTAAATTTATTTAAAAGGTCCCCAAACTATGTATAGTGTCATAAATATCAAAAAATCATTGAGCCAAAATTTTCTTATTCATAATCCGTGAATTTCAGCAGTCACATAGTGACTGCAGATTGCTAGTTAATGTTTACTCGGAATCTAATAAAGCAATAAAATTTTAATAAGAGCTACTAATTAGCAACAAATTTAACACCACAAATAAATTTTGTTGCTTGAATAATCACCGAGATACTGATGGTCAATGCTGGACGAGTCAATGTCAGCTTTACAGACGTCTTTTACTGAGATTTTTTTTTTAACTTATTCAATAACTATCTTGATAACTAAAGTAATTAATTTTGTTATTCAGACAACATTGCTTGCTTCAGGCAATAAAAATTTTAAGTGCCAAAATCTACTTTGTATAATTAATAATTAAAATTTTTTGAATTGTTAATTTCGATGTAATTAATTTAATAAGTCAAGATAAACTATGATTGATTTCGATGTTTTATTGTTACTCGCAAAAATTTCTTCTATAAGTGAAAAAAAAAATGTCTGACTTATCAAGGTTTCACTGTATTAGTTTTAAGCTTTGATATATATTTTTTTTTTTAATATTAACGAAATTTAAATTTACCTTTAGCAACGAAATCAGCAAATAATATCCAACAGGCAGCAATAACAGCTGCGAATCCCATAACCAGACCGACAAACAACCATCCACGTGCCCCTCTAACACCTAAACATCCACCGTTGGATGCATAACTTTGAATTTGTGAGTTTGTTACTGAATTCACCCTGAAAAAAAAGAAGAAATCATAATTTTAGATTGTTATATATAATCTGCATGTGGGTAGTTGAGAAATTTTATAAAATTATAACAATTATATCAATAAAAAAAAATTTTTATTATTTAAATCATCAAAATTTGTATTGATATTTTTTAAATTAAATTAAAAAATGATCAAATATTCGCTGATTTCAATATTGTTAATTTTTTGAGAATATTGATAAGTAAAAAAATAAATGAACATTTTTTTTTTCATTAAAAAAAATTTAATTGAAAAGTTCAGAGAATTTTGTGACAAAAATTTCGGATAAAGATTTATTGGACTTTTGTAGATGAAATTACTAAAAATAATAAAAATAAAGTTTGCAATTTTTAAAAAATATCTTTTTGTTTTAATTTAATTATTGAAAAAAAAAATCAAAAAATTCAAAATGTCAGCTAACTTTAGTATTATAATAAAATAAGTAGATGATGTTTATAATTGATTATGATTTATGGTTTACTTACATAAATAATGATATTGTACCAAAAACACCGCAAACATGGTACGCACTTGACATTTCTTCAGGATATTGAGCATGAGCATCAATAATAAACCACCAGCCTGTAAAAAACTGAAAAATAAAATTTGATTAAGTTTTTTTTTGTCTTTTAAAACAATAATTACTGTCATCGAAAATTAAATCAATTTTCTGCAATTACGTACATATTTTTTTTTTTAATTTATAAAAAAATCTAAGTATAAAAAACAATTAAGACACTGAAGATAACTGACATTAGAAATTTTTTTATAAGTTTATAATAATTAAATTATTATGAAAAAAATTTAATAAAAAAATTCCACATGTGAAAATTAAAAAAAATTATTAGTGAAAATTTTTTAATGAATTTTTTTATTCTAATTGATTTTTTATAATAGTTTAAAAAATTGTCAGCTAACTTCAGTATCATAAAACAATTTTTCAGTAAAAAAGAATATAAATAAAATTACAATAAAAATTTAAGAATGATTCACGTATAAATAAAAATTCAAAGTGAAAATTAAATTAGCTGACAATTTTTTTTATTGAAAAAATTATTATAAAGAAATTAAAAGGAAAAATTCCACATGTAGAAAATTTAAAAAAATTGTACGTGCAATTTATTTCAAGTATTTTTTTACTCGCAATTTAATTGTTGAAAAAAATACAAAAATTTTTGAATGTCAGCTAACTTTAGTATCATAAATTTTTATTTAATAATTTTTTCAACAAGAAAAATTACAAAAATTTTATGACACTAAAATCAGCTGACATTAAAAGTTTTTTTTAATTATTTTATAACTAAAGAAATATTATTCAAAAATTGCACTTATAATTTTTAAAATTTTTAGGTCAAATTTTTTTTTCTATTTTTTTTTTTTTTTTTAATAAGAAAAATCTTAAAAATCGTCACATGTCTGCTAATTATGATGATAAATTTAGCAGATATTTAATAATTTTTAGAATGTTTTTTAACAAATAAATTATGGCAAAAAAAAAAATAAAAAAAAATTGACGTAGAAATTTTGAAAAATTAAAAATGCAATTTTTTAAAAATAATTTTTTGGAGAAAAATGTTTTGTTAAAAAAAATTAAAAAATTCTCTAATGACTACTAACTTTAATTTCATCTGCTAATTTAATTTTCATAAAATTTTAAGATGTCGGCTAATTTAATTTTCATTAAAGTAATAAATAGACATTTAATTTTTTTATGATGATCATTCTTGTCAATAAGATTTATGTATATAACCTGACTTAATAGTTTTTTATAAAAATCAAACGAAATTAATCAAAAAACAAAATATAAATTTTTAACGCGTGTAATTTTTTGGTATTTTCAATTTTTCAAATGTTGGTTTAGATTATTTGTAAACAAAAAAATAAAAAATTAATTTTTTTACCAGTGTTCCAGCAAGCATTGACATTATCGAATTACGATTATCTCCGGCTTCAAACCAAACACAAGATGGAATTTGTACATTTTCAAGACAAGATGTCATATTTGTTTTTTATTGGTTCACTTTTAGATATCAAAAATTAATTTAAAAGCATCAATTAATATAATTGTATGTAAATAAGCGATTGACAGCTGTATTTATGATATTAGTCACTCTTAGTAAGTCGCATTTCGTTGACTCTAAAATTTCTAGTTCATAATTCTGTTATTTTATTTTATAGATGGTGATAGCTGTGTTGTTTGGAGAAAATTTTTGAATTTATTGGAGAGTTTCGCTGGTAAATGTAGATGGCAGCTCGTGAATTTTCTGAAAAGTGATTGAGCGTCTTTTAAATTTTATAAATCGAATAAAAAGTCTTTTTTCATCTATTTTTATGACACTAAAGTTGACATTAGAAAATTTTTAAAAATTTTAGTAAGTATTCAGTACTTGAACACTTGTAAAAATGGGACCAGTACTTGAACAGACTTTTCGAATTGTTGTAATACAAAATCCGTAAATTTATTATGAGTAATATGCGCATGTTATAATTATTCAATTATAAACAACTTGATTGTCATTAAATTTCAAGTATTGTACAGATAAAAATTTTTTTTTTATTTTTTAGCATTTATATTATCATACAAAAAAACTTATTATTTATTTTAAGTCAATTAAATTTTTAAGAATGATTTTCGCAGAGTTTAAAACTTATTTTTTGTTTCTGTATTGAATGAATTTTTTCTTCAGTTCTGATCATATAGCTGTAAATGTGTCTAAAACACCGGTCATTTAAAAAAAAAAATTAGAAAAACGGTTGACCCTGAAAGCCATCCCTGCAACTTCCCGCTAATTCCATACCTAGGAGCTTAAAATTGCACTTATGACGTTTTCGAGCTCTTCGAGCTAAAAAATACAATTTATGTGTTATTTTGAGCTCTCCGAGCTCAAAGAGATAGAATTGCTATGCTTTTGAGCTCTTCAAGCTCAAAAGTCTTATCAAAATTCGATGGAACACGATTTTTCTCATTTTCAAACTGCTGTAACTTTTTAATAAATCAACCGATTCTCACGCGGTAGGCGGCGATCGATGTGGTTTTTTGAGCTCTATAAATGATCTGAACAAAAACAGTTTCACTGTAAAAAAATCGCGCCAAGTCCACGTTCATAAAACTATTAAGAAAAAAAAATTTTGTTTTCTTTACAAAAAGATATAAAATAAAAAAATTAAATAATCCAAGTAACCGATATGATTGTATATGATTTTCCGAAATTAGAAAAAATTATGTTGTAAATTTAAAAATTAAAAAAAAAATTTTGGAACGTATTTAGTGTGCGCGGTTGCAAAATATTTTACTTTTAATGAAATTCGTGAATTCTATTTACTAGGACTTTATAAAAAATGAAATACACAATGACGCACACCAAGTACGTTCCAAAATTTTTTTTTTTAATGGACTTGGCGCGATTTTTTTTACAGTGAAACTGATTTTATTCGGATTTTAGTATTTTTTGTAATTAAAATAAAAAATTACAATTGGTACCAACTT